CCAACCATGTTGCTGCAAATGGCATGAGTTTATCTTTTTTTTTTTTTTTTTGAGATTTATTTATTTATACAAGAACAGGCCAGAGGCGCAGGAGGGTGAGAGGATTCACCAGAGACAGAGCGGGGAGCAGAACAGGCAGACCAACTAAAATACACTGCTGAGGGGAGCAGCCGGGGAGTCAGGAGAGGTCCGCTGCAGCACCTGGGATTCTTGCCTGCCGGCCAGGATGAAACCCACATTGCAGAGGCTGCGGACAGCTTCACAATACTGTGCTCAACTGCCTGCACCACCAGGGAGGCCTAGTTTATATCCTTGTTGACTGCTGAGTAAATTCCTTGGTGTATATGGGCCACATCTTCTTGATCCAGTCGCCTATTTTTGGGCATTTGGATTGTTTCTAAAGCTTACCTATTGTAAATAGCGCTGCAATAAACATAGGAGTGAGGGTGTCCTTTTGAATTAACGTTTTTATGTCCACAGAGGCAACGTTTTTCAAAGACACTTTTACCGTCAACTTTTAAGGATTATGATGGAGGCCTTTAAGAGTAGAACATTTGAGAAGGAGCCAGAAGCCGGCTCACACAAGGCCAAATCGGGAGGTAGGGGTAGAAATGATCAATGTAGTCATTAAACAAGCTTGACAGAAAAGCAAATTATCCACAGACACTCACTGGGCTGCGGACCAGCCGGGGATATGGAGATTAAAGACCTTGTAAAGAATCATTGGTCCTTCCAAATTGGCCTAGTCAAACCAAATACAGAAAAAAAATCCTTAACTCCAACCCTAGAAACAATTAATTTAACAACAGTTAAGAAGTCCACAGAGGAATGAACCCTCCCAAAGAGAAGGCTCTGTCAGCGCAATTTCTGTAGCAGTTCTCCTGTGCCGGTGTCTCTCTTCACCAACTGTCTCCTACAAAGCAGCAGAGGCAGCTGTCCTCCTAGGATGTCCCCTGTGTCTGTGTGGGCATCTCTTCTGACAAATGTATCCCTTTCAGGACAGCTCTTTCTTTCCACTGATGTCTGTGTAGTGACCCTACCCTCTCTCCCTCCCATCCCTTCCCTTTTTATAATAGCCTGCCCTTTTGGATATAACTAAACCTCTCTGCCTCATGGGGCAAACTGCCTGGGATACTCACCATGTGCTGCTGGTGTTACGGACTCTCACCAGCAGAGATAAGACCTCCAGAGACCGTGAGGTCAGGGAAACTTAATTCCCATGCAGACCCAGACACAGGAAAGCACTCCTGTAGGAAGATCTGGGCCACACAGGGATTCCTTTTTATATTCAAGTGTTACCTCTGCAGATTGACCCATTGTTTCACAATAAGGAACCCCTTTAGTGCAGCACAATGGGAGTTTAGGAAATAAGGAAGGGGATACAACTATCTGGAGATTACTCAAAAGAAATCCGCCAGTCTCCTTAACTGACTCCCTTCCTTTGGAATGCAGTTTTGTTCAGAAAGGGCTATAGAGACCTGGCCATGAATCCTTCAAAGGCAAGATTTGCAGTAAGCAAACTTACTAATTGCACCTGCATTGGAATGCTTATCTGATGGGACTTTTTATTACATCCACTTGCTTAGTGGTTTTACTCCATTACTGGAAGGGAGCTCTGGTGAAACTTTTTCAGAGGAAACGTGAGGACCCCACTCGGAAAATCAGCACCTCTCCAAACTGACATCAGATATGTTTGAAGAAAAAAGTCAGGGATCCCCCCTTCCACCTCTCTGTCTCTGTCTCCTTCTGTCTTTCTGTCTCTGTCTCTCTCTCTCTCTGTCGTCTGTCTCTCTCTCTCTCTCTCTCTCTCACACACACACACATACACACACACACACACCTCCCAGTGTTATTTCACTTACCTTTACTATAAGGTCACTGGCAGCGTGTCATTTTATAGAGTTAAAATCTGATCTCGGCACTTTGCTCAGCTGAACAATGCTGGGAGACACAGAAGAATATTTAATTTCAACCAAAGGAAATTGAAGGTTTATCTTCAGGAAGCTCGTTAACTAACTCACAATTTCCTACTTCAGGAAGTAAAATTTAAGTGCCTACTGACACTTAGGCTATCAGTGAAGCTGTAATTAACATTTTGATGTCCTTGTAGGTTCATTTTTTTCTTTAGTAATTCAAAGAATGACTCTTTTCAGAGTTCCAACACTTCTGTAATACTCAAAAAATTGCTTTATACAATAAGAAGTCAGCCCAGGTTTAATTGAAAGAATTGTGATCACAGAATTGTGTCCACAGCCTCTGCAGCGCCAGTTCGATCCTCGGCCGCTGGCGAGGGTCCCACAGGGCGCGGCAGACCTCTCCTGCTGCGCCTGATGGCCCCCTCAGCAGTGTATTTTGTCATTCTGCCTGCTCTGCTCTCCCCTCTGGCTCTGGTGAGTTCTCTCACCCTCCTGTATCTGGCCTGTGCACTGGTTCTTGTATGCATAAATAAATAAACCTTTAAAAAAAAAAAAGAATTGTGATCACCGAGTAATGAGTGATTCATAGAAAAATATTATCTGCATTCTAAGCGCACTTTGGTCAGAATTTGATGCAAGTTATAGTTCTTTTTTCTCTTTCTAATGACCTTGTGCAACAAAGAGAAACGTAAGTATCTGGTGCACTTACAAATGACCTGTCTTTCAGATAGGCATTAACAAATTTGCCTTTCCCCTGTTTCTTGACAGGTTTACCTTTCTTTTTTTTTTAAAGATTTATTTATTTATTTACACAAACACTGGGTACAGTCAGAAGCGCGGGAGGGTGAGAGATTTCACCAGAGCCAGACCGGGGAACAGAACAGGCAGACCGACGAAGTACCCTGCTGAGGGGAGCAGCGGGTGAGACAGGAGAGGTCCGCTGTGCCATGTGGGTAGCTCCCTGGCTGGGGATCCAACTCCTGCTGCAGTGACTGTGGATAGCTTCATAGTGCTGAGACTTAACCCCTCGTGCCCCCAGGGAGGCCCTGTTCCCAAAAATGTTAAAAAAAGAGACTCATCATCTTCTGCAAAAATATGTAGCCCCAATATAACCTTGAAAATAGTGAATGGTGGCCACACACAGCAGTGTCAACAATGAGACAATACTCCTGCTGGATCTCCTTTGCAGGAAGCACAGAGAGAATGGACTGAACTGGCATATATCCAACTTTCCTTTGCTCTCTGCGAGTCACCTAACTTGGTCCAACTGTGTTCTCTCGATACTACCACTGTGGCAGCTTTAATCAGACTGCCTTCCATGCGCAATCTGCCTCCTAAAGCTGACAGCCCTCCAGCCCTCCTACCATGAAATCCCCTCCTGAGCCTCCTGCACTTTGCAGGCCCGCTCAGGAAGCTCCCCAGGCATTTCTCCCCTTTCTGGAAGCAGCCACCCAAGACGGAGGGGTCCACAGTCTCTGAATCCCTTCTATTTTAAGGATTTAAAACAGACCTCAATAGCTTTGTTGCCAACCCTGATCAATGTATTGATTCTGTGGGTGGGGTTTTCATCTAAATTGCAAAGACCTTATGCTCCTTTTAGATCAGACCCTGCTGGATCTGTCAGGGATGCAGTCTTGGACTGAGCCCATGGTTTTGGTAAGGAACTCCACTTAGCAGGCAGTGACCACTCTCCCGGAGGACAAGCCCTGTCAGTGGACAGACCCAACATGGGATCCTGTGCAGTTAGACCAACACTAGGCTCCTTTTCACTAGGCCTCCTTGAGGGCCTTAGGTGTTCTTGCTCCAAAATTCTTTTAACTATGCCAAACTGTACAATCCAACAGGGACTCGCTGAAAATCCCACTGCCTTTCATGAGAGGCTCTGGAAAACTCTAGTTCAACACACTAACCTCAATTTGGACTCTGTAAAGGGCCAATGAACGCTAAAAGGGAAGTTCATCACCCAATCTGCCCCAGACATCTCCCATGAAAGTCAGCATTCACTGGACAGCTCGCCAGACAACCTGTTGCAGGATGCTACCCTGGTCTTTCACAATATAATCAGACAGGTGGAACAACAGGAAAAGAGAGAAGAGAGTTCAGGCTAGAGCAGTCACCTTTGTGGCAGCTTTGCAACATGCTGTTCCAGAGAACAGTAAGGAATCTGGCCTAAGGTGTTATGGATGCAGTCAGTTTGCCCATTATCGATGTTACTGCCCAGGTAGAAAATGTCCACCCCAAGGCCATGCCTACTCTGCCATGAGGGCCTTTAGAAGCCCCCACAGGCTCCCTCCTGTAAGGGCTCTGCCACGCAAGCCCCAAATACTGCAACAGGAATGAGGGGGCCAGGGGAGTCCCTTGACTGCCATGGCTAGCATCCACCTGGCCCCAAAAGAACCCTGGGTAGAGCCTTCCTGGTGGCGCAAGGGGTTGAGCATCACACTATGAGGCAGTCCACACCCTCTGCAGCACGAGTTCAATCCCTGGCCAGCCAGAGAGAAAACCACATGGCATATCAGACCTCTCCTGTCTCGCCCGTTGCTGCCCTCAGCAGTGTATTTCAGTAGATCTGCTTGTTCTGCTCCCCACTCTGTCTCCAGTGAACCCTCTCACCCTCCCGCGCATCTGGCCTGTACTCAGATTCTCGTATAAATAAAGTAAATCTTTAAAAAAATAAAAAAAAAAAATAACCCCGGGTAGTTACAGAGGTCGAGGGCAAGACTATCTCCTTTCTCTTAGGACAAGGGTGGCCTTTTCAGTTCTCCTAGAAACAGGGGCACACCTGTCACCTTTGACCTTGTGGTAGTGGGTGTATCAAGCAGGCTGTGTGTCATGACTTTTGTCCAGTCTCCTCTCCTAATGATGGGACACACACCGTTTTCCCCATTCCTTTTAATAATCCCCAAGAGCACACACCCCTTATTAGGCTGTGACTTACTCTGTTGCTACCAAACTGCCATCCTTACCTCTCCATGCCACCTGATTCCCTGTCTACCCTTCCTGCCAGTAGACCCACAGATGTGGTCTAGAAGGCTGACAGGGCCATGCATACCATATAGTAAATCCAAGTCCATGACCACTCACCAGCACCCATACACATTCACCTCGGAGATCACTCTTCTTATCCACATCAGCGCCAATATCTGCTGCACTCTGAGGCCAAATCAGACTTACAGCCAGTCATACAAAGCCTTAAGGAACGGGCTTCTAATTCCTTGAAACAGCTCCTGCAATACTCTAATCATCAAGGATCCAGATGCCGGATGGGTCCTGGAAGCTAGTCCAGGACTTTTGCATGGTCAACTAGGCCATAGTTCTCCTATGCCCCCCACCGCAGTCCCCAGTCCCTATACCCTGCTGGCCCGATCCCCGAGGCCTCGGCTTTGTTTTCTGTCCTTCACCTAAAGGAAGCCCTTCCTCGGCGGGCCAGCTCATTGGAGCAGTGCTCCCACAGCGATTCAGGGACTCCCTTCATCTCTTAGGTCTACTTCTGGCCAAGCATCTGGCCATCAGACCCTACATGAGGGAAATTCTACAGTACGTAGGTACCTTGACCCTGTGGTCTCCCTCCAGAGAAGCAGCGGCTAGCCACAAATGTCCTACTTAACTTCCTGGTCCAGAAAGCATACCTGGTATCCAAGTCCAAGGCCCACTCTGCCTTCTGGAGCGGGAAAGTGTCTGGGTCTAGTAATTTCCAATGGAACCAGGACTTTAGGATAGGGCCATTTGCAGCATATCCCCTTGTGCACACTGTGCAGCAACTTAGGGAACTTTTAAGAATTGCAGATGCTGCTGAGTGTGGATCCCAGTCTTTAGGGAAATTAGCCAGCCCCTATATAACCTTATTGGAGACACAGAAGGCAAGAGCCACTACCCTCATTTGGAAACCAGAGGCAGTAAAAGCCTTCAAAGCTTTAAAAAGTGCCCTGTTAGGAGCCCTGGCCCTTAGCCTTCCTATGGGAAAGCAATACAACTTCTAGGTAACAGAGAGGAAGGAATGGCCTTGGGAGTCCTGACACAAGAAAAGGGACTAGCACGATGAGCTATCGGAGAGCTTAGCCAAGAGCTAGATGTGGTGGCACAAGGATGGTCTGTCTGCCCATGCATACAGCAGCAGCTATACTCATGCCAGAAGCCACCGACCCAACCGGGGTTGCAATCTCAATAGTACACACTTCATATGACCTGGCAGCCCTTTGAAACTCGAAGGGAGGATTTTTGGCACTCTGAATATTGCTTGTTTAAATACCAGTCTTTACTCCTTGAGTGCTCCTCCATATTTCTTAAAGTTGTCATTCTCCTGGAAGAGCCCGAACGCCGTAATGTGAGCAGGTTATCCTCCAAACCTATTCCTCATAGGAGGATCTCCAGGAAACTCCTTTACAAAATGCAGATTGGGTTCTTTTACAGATGGCAGTTCACTCCTTGAAAACTGAGTCCAAAAGGTGGGTTAAGCTGTGAAAATCCAATGGTAGGAAGTTGAGGCTCTCTAGCCTGCAACCAGTGCTCAGCTGGCAGAGTTGGTGGCCTGACCTTAAATATAGTCATGGAATATATGCACTCCAGAAATGCATACTGGGCCCACCATGCACATGCCCAGATTTGGAAAGAAGACACTCTCCACAGCAAAAAACTCTCCCATTAAATACCTCGGGCTGCACTCCAACCTCAGGAGGTGGCAGTGGTGTAGTGCCAATGACATCAGTCTGGGTCAGATAACATTGCACAGGCAGTAGATTGGCTGACTTGCTGGCCAAGGCAGCAGCTTGAAAGGCAGGCCCCTGAAAGGCAGGACGCTCCCAAAATACGGGCTGCCTATTAATTTATGACTCCCTTTAAGCCACCCTGCAGTCTAGAAGAAACCCAAGCGGCTCAGGCCCAGGGTTTCATCCACCAAGACTCAGGGTGGCTTCAGGCCCCCCACTGAATAGATCTTTCTGCCTTTCTAGGCTCACTGGAAATCCTTTTTTTTTTCCCCCCAACATTTATTTATTTATGTATACAAGAACTGGGGCACAGGCCAGAGGTGCAGTGGGTGAGAGAATTCACCAGAGACAGTGGGGACCATAACAGGCAGACTGACTGAAACACACTGCTGAGGGAAGCAGTGGGAGCGATGTGCTGTGCCACGTGAGAGTTCCCTGGGCAGGGATAGAACTCGTGCTGCAGTGGCTGCGGACAGCGTCATAGGCTGTGTCTTAACCCATTGGCCACCTGGGAGGTCCTCAGTGGAAAATCTTAAAGACCTTACACCAGACCTTCCACTTGGCACAGGACAACACTTTGCATATGACTAAAATACGTTTCAGAGGTCCACACTTAGCTGAGACTACTGAACATATTATTCATTCCTGTGAGGAATGTCAGAGAACTACACCCATAAATAGGAGACTAGCATTCCATCCCAAAGGATGGGGTGACAACTGGGGAAAGACTGGCAATTAGATTTCAACACGTATCAAAACCCCAGGGAAACTATTCCTTTTATTTGGGTAGATACCTCAACCCACCAAGAAGCAGCCTTCCCTTGTTGGACAAAGGTTAGTGAGGCGGTAAATGTATCTGGAATCTGTGCACGTCTTCAGAGTAACAGTGGACCCTCCATTACATCAATAACTCGGAGGATCTCCTGGGCATTAGGAATCCAATACCACCTCCACTCTGTTGTTTTTTTTTTTAATTTTTATTTTTATATTCCCCGTACAGTTGCACCTCCCTTATTTTGACCCCAATCCCTCCTTTCCCCTCCCGCCCCCCATAGTGTATCTCTGGTTCATAGTTGTTTGTTGATTTTGATATTTTCTTCCTTATAGTTATTCTTTTTCCTGGTCTCTTATTTAGGTTTTCTTTTTCTTTCTGGCATATTTCAATGAGCATGATTCCTTCTGGCTCCATCCATGTTGCTGCAAATTACATGTGTTTATCTTTTTTTTATTTAAATATTTTATTTTATATAATTCTTACATCTTTTTTTCATCTTTGCACAATGTATGCATTTTCGTTTTGGTTATATTCCCCATACAATTGCACATCCCCCCCTTATTTTGACTCTAGTCCTTCCTTTCCCCACCTCTCCTTGCCCCTCTCCCCGTAGTGTGTCTGTGGTTTATAGTTGTTTGTTGATTTTGATTTTTACTTTGTATTGATTAGTCTTTTTCATGGTCTCTTATTTAGGTTTTCTAAATTCCTGCTATGAGTGAGACCATCCAGTATTTTTCTTTTTCTTTCTGACTTATTTCGCTGAGCATGATCCCTTCCAGCTCCATCTATGTTGCTACAAACTGCATGTGTTTATCTTTTCTGTTTGCTGAGTAATATTCCATTGTGTATATGTACCACATCTTCTTGATCCAGTTATCTTTTTCTGGGCATTTGGGTTGTTTCCAAAGCTTAGCTATTGTAAATAGAGCTGCTAGAAACATAGGGGTGCAGGTGTTCTTTGGAATTGGTGTTTCTGTGTCCTTTGGGTAAATACCTAGGAGTGGAATTGCTGGATCCTATGGAAGCTCTATGTTTAGTAGGTCCAGAAATCTCCACACAGCTCTCCATAGTGGTTGGACCAGTTTGCACTCCCACCAGCAGTGCAGGAGAGTCCTTTATCTCCACACCCTCCAACATTGTTGTTGCTAGTTTGTTTTTTTTTTCTTTTTTTTTTTATAGAGGCATGTTATTTATTTATTTATTTGTTTGTTTGTTTTGTTTGTTTATACATGCACTGGGTACAGTCAGAAGCGTGGGAGGGTGAGAGAATTCACCAGAGCCAGAGCGGGGAGCAGAGCACGCAGAAGGACCGAAGTACACTGCGGAGGGGAGCAGCAGGCAGCAGGAGAGGTCTGTGCGCCATGGGGGACCCTCCTCCGGTGGCCGGGGAGCAGCCGGGGATCCAACCGGCGTCGCAGAGGCCGCGGGCAGCTTCGCAACCCAGCGCTCTACCGCTGCGTCACCTGGGAGGCCTTGTTGCTAGTTTTTTTAATATGTGCCATTCTCACTGGTGTGAGATGGTATCTCATTGTAGTTTTGATTTGCATTTCCCTGATTACAAGACTCGATCACATACTGGGCCACAGGACAAACATCAACAGATACATGAAAATCAAAATCATTCCAACTCTCTTCTCCAATCATAAACACATCAAACTAGAAACAAATCATGAAAACAAGGAACCCTCCCACTTCATGCAGACTGAAATCCACACTACTGGAAGACCACTGGACTAAAGAGGAGATCAAAGAAGAAATTAAAAAATACTTTGAGTTGAACGACAAGGAGGACACCACTTTCCAGAATGTATGGGATGCAGCAAAAGCAGTAATAAGTGGAAAATATACAGCAATACAGGCTCACATCAACCAACAAGAAAGAACTCAAATAAACAACCTAATCTCACATCTCAAAGAACAAGAAAAAGAACAACAAAAAAACCCTAAAGCCAGTAGAAGAAAGCGTTGTCACAAGCAAATACAGTCTGCTCCTTAGTGCCTCCTGACGTCTTCAAAGGTTTCCACCCCCGTTTGCATCAGATTTATCTTGCTGACTTATGCCACTTGTGTAGGCAGCATGGGCACAGTGAAGATTTTCTATGATGGGAGCAGACAGAGTAAAGGAGAGTCCTGGAGCCCTAGTGGGTTTCTCAGGCTTTTATTGAGCTTTACATGTAGTGTGGAAAACAGATACATGGCAGACAGAGGTGCCAGGGGGCCAGGAGGCTGGTAGGCCTACAATCCCCCAGCAAGTCTTCACTCCGAGCTTCTTTCTCTCACTCCTGACTTTCTTTCTCCCCTTCTCTTTCCTGCCTCTGCTTCTTTTGGCGACTATCTCAATACTCCTCCCATGACACACATAAGTAAACAACACAGCTTATAACAGAAAAGACACTTGATCTGATTTCAGTCTCCTGAATTCATGGGTTTTCCATTTTTTTTCAACTTGCAAGATTTTGTGGATGTGTTTCTTATGTAGGTGGTCGGTACTGAGTGATGTTCCATGGCACTTAAGAAGAATATGTATTCAGTTGTTTTTTGGGGGGGGCGGGATGTGCAGTGCCCTCAAATGTCCACTAAAGCCTTACTCATTTACAGCTATCATTTCCCTGCTTATGCTTTTGTCTGGTTGATCTGTCCATTGATGAAAGTGGGGTGCTGCAGTCCCCAGT